GTAAAACAATACTCTGACTTTAGCTGTATGTTGACGATAGTGGAGTAAAGAGCACAGTATTTCAAACACAAGTAACACAAGGACCTGTAACGTCACTTGAGTAAATAGTTACTTTCCACTGACGTTACTGCTTAGGTATTATCATTACATTGCAGTGATAAAGACGTAGGTAAAGTGGAGACATTCAGGACCGTGGGAATGTTTGGTTATCTACAGATCAATACAGGTGTTTTGATTTCTCTGTCCCCTCCTGGCTCTTGTTCGTGTTATCAGACTCCTACCTGACTCTCACTTGTCCTCTTCAGGGTGCCTGCTCGGCTGTCGCTTCGTGTCAGACGCCTGGTTGAACTCTCTGTCTGTAAAGAAGACACAACCACACCTCAGGTGAGTTAAACAGCCTAGCATCACATGCAGACAGTAACAAACAAGCTAACGGTGGCTAATGAGGAAGTGAACTGAAGCTACAGGCCGATATAAACGAGTCTGTAGAGCCGTTAGTCAGTCTTAAACGGTTACTAAAATGGCGGAGATACATACCGACTATCTTGATAACGTTAAATGTTTAAAAAGTGTAAATAATGAGCGGTAAAAGAACCTTAGCATTAGCTTTAGACAGTGAGTAATGACGGCGTGATTCCTGCGCTCACCTCCTTTATAATGCTGCGGAGAGACTCATCCTCGCTCATGCCCCGTGATAACGTCCGCTTCTTTGGCGAACCACTGCTGTCCAGCGTGACTGAGTGCATTTTTTTTAATGGGTTATATTAAGTTTTCCTTTATGTAAGAGACACCTCCGAGCTCTCAGCTGGGTGAAGAGGAGTTTTGTGTTTTTGTTTCCTACGCAGGAACAGCTGTAAGTGAACTGCCGACGCCCAGGCCGTGATCTACGGAGAGCCACGGGGTACAAACTGTCTTTAACACCGCCCTCACTCCGCCCACACAGTCACACAGGAGTCAAAAGATCAGCCTCTGGCCTGGATCTCTACATCCCGTGGCCTCTCACAGTAGAGACCAGTCCACGTTGAAACGTTTTGGGCATTTAAATAGTAAAGTGTTTCAAAGTTCATGGCGCGTGTCAGGTCCTGAAACTCATCAATGACAACAAGGTGTACCAGCTGTTTTCAGGTAAGCTCGATGGTTCATGTGCATTTTATGAAAATGTGAGGTAGGCCTACATGAGGGAAGTTTGGGGGAAACGGTACAATGAAAAGGCAGACATCACACTTAATTAACGAACAGTATAGAAATACATTAAAATCTTAGTCTCTGCCAATGATGCTCCATGCAAACCCCATGCAAAAGCAGTGTCGTCATCACCATCATCATCATCATCATCACAATCACAAAAGCACATAGTCAAGCACTATCCAAACCCACAACCTTTTTTTTTTTGCCAAAATCCAGAAGACACCAAAAACGGAAGATGACATAAGATAAGATAAGATGAGATAAGATTGTTTTGCAGCAGGTGCAGTACAGGGAGAAAGAGTGCAAATATAAAACATAAGATAAGGCCTATGTTCTATATTTAATTAATTTATAATTAGATGGAACATGCAGATACAAAATGTACAGGCTGTGTGATACTGTAACTTTTTGAAATTCTAAGCATGAATTCATTAAGCAATGATATTTGAAAGCACCAATTATTTAACTCAGGGCATTCCATAAGTGAGGATTACGTGTAAAGCTTTCAGGGGCCACTTCTATAGGTGGGCCTGACTCCATTGTCAACATACACAAAACAGAACTATTTAGAACTTCCTGAAACATTGTAATAATTGCTCCACAATGTACATTGTCTCTACGTCCTTCTTTATTTCAATGGGGTAATATAAAGTTCAGCGTGATTGTGTAGTCAGATCAGATAACACAGTTCTCAATTCACCCCTCAGCCTCACTTTACATTCACATCTCTTATGAATGAGTCTATCAAATTTCACTTTGCCGACTTTATTCATTAATATATTATTACTATAACTGATTTATGACCACTGGCTCATTGACCTTTTATCCCAGCAGATATTTTGGCCTGTCATAAAAGCACAAGTGTTACTAATGGCTCTTTTTGTATGTTAGGTAAGACATGACAGTGGTACAGTGAGCCAGCATCTATAATATCAGGACCCTGAAACCAAAGTAGCTAAATGGAATTAAGCCATTGTTAATTATTATTTACAGCTGTTCTTTATTGTGATATTATATGTCAAAATGTCTTCAGTGGAATAAACCTATAATGAGGTGGTTCATTGTGAATACACAGACTTGAGATATGTCTGATTGATTGAGTTTATTCATATGAAGGAGCGCACATTAACTACTTTATGTCTCTCTTCTTGTTCCACAGCATCATCATCACACTCTCAGTTTCTTGGTTATGATGGCGGACAAAAGCTCAGCAGCAGAAGGTTGAATTGACGAGCTGAAAAAGTCCAGCAGCTCCTGAAGCCTGAGGACTCACAATGAAGCCTCCTTTCTGGGAAGCAGGTCTTGGTGCTACAGACTTGAGAGCTGATGTGCAGATGAGATTTTGGTGAGTTTTTGGTCCCATATTCATATATATCTATAAGCACATGTAAACAACAGTTTTTGCAGCAAACATTCAGTATTTGATGCTAAGCATGTACAGAACAGTCAAGACTAAGCTGGTAACATTTCTTTTCATCTAAAGTCATCAATTTAATACAAAAAATATTAACACCTAAAACTATTTTCATGGTAAGGACCAAAAGGAAAAGGAACAAACCCAAAGACAGTCAGAACTGACAGCCCCTGGATTTTCTGCTTGCAGCTCTCTTACAAATGTCATTTTCTGTCCCCTAAATGTGTAGCATAAAGCAATAGTTCAGCATTTTGTGAAATAAACATGTTCACTTTCTTGCTAAGAGTTACATAAGAAGACTGATGCCACAGTTTAGCAATACATCAGTGAAGACATACTCTGTTACAAGTACACACTCTGTTTAGCTTGCAAAAATATATTTATTTGCAATTTTTTTTGGTCAAGATAAAGTCCTGCATTCGAAATTGCACTCAAGTAAAAGTGTTCAATATGCAGAATGGCCCATTCCACAATAATGTACATTATATTATTGGACCTGATAATCAACAAAGTCTTATCTTATTTTAAACTATAATTATTTCTTGGTGATATTTCACATTAGTAATCTGAATCTGCAAAGTGACTAGAAACTAAAGTTATCAAATAAATGTAGGGGAGTAATAAGTACAATGTTTGCCTCTGAATTGTAGTGGATTAGGAGCATAAAGTAGCATATTTAAGTAAAGTACAGACTGTACTTGAGTACAGTGCTAGAGTAAATCTACATGGTTATTTTCCACTACTGCTGAGGTTCAGGTTAGGTGCATTACATGGAAGTTTTGTTTTTCTAAATTGAGCTGTTGTGTTGGTGAGTGAATGCTGTGCTGTAAAAATGTAATATTGATGATTTACATGAAATTTCATAAAAACCTACGAACACACTAAACAGGGACATGCAGCTATCCCTTGAGGACTCTCTGGTTTATGGTTTTGATCAGTTTCATTTAGATAAGGCAGATCGTTTCTGAAGATGTTTCAGGTCAGCAGTGTAGTGTTATTTAATTTAATGTTCATTCATGGAATGAAGCTTCCAGTGTAAGACTTTGTTTGCACACAAGAGAATTAAAGAAGGAAATATGTGCAAACAGCAGCAAAATGTTTCCCATATATTAATGTCTTGGAAGCTCCACCGAAGAACATTAAGAGACAACTGGATTCATTTATGGAGCACTAATGCTTGATCCTCAATAACCTCTAGTCCTACCAGTATTTTAAAAAATACTGCTGTATTCCCAAACTAAATGAGCTCATGACTAAAGGGCCCTGTTTTACAACGAAGTACCACAATTTGGACACATCAAGCAATGAAAGAGGCATCACACATGAAAACTATTCCTGGAAGCGGATCTGCTCTGCAGCTGCAGCTGTGTTTTCCTCCAGCAGATGACACTAGTGGGTCAGTGACGGTTCACTAAGAGACTCATTGCTATGTGAAGTACAATTTGTACATAAAGAAATCAGGTCCAGAAATATCACAACTTTTATTGAGCACATGTGCAGCCATGAGTACAGCATCTCTCCATGTTTTGTAGCTGGACTACATTTTGATCAAATACTGTGATATTTTGAAACACTGTGGGTTTATGGGTAAATATGACACACAAAAGACTTGAAATTCTACAAACTATAGTAATCCATAAGGAAGCGAGAAAAAATGTGTGACATTTTTATTAGGGTCATAGCTGATTAGTGCAAATTCAATTCAAAGTAGGCTCATATAGATTATAAAGTCTCTGCAGACCTGCTGCTACTGCAGGGCTTCAATCAGTATATTAATACAGGCTAATAAACATAAACCTTACATTATTATCATAACCTTTCAGAATCTCATTTGTGCATTTTAGAGCCCGTGTTATGAAATATGAAGTCCAGTTGTTACTCTAGTGGTTCACAAAGATACTTTGACGCTCACTTTGGAGAGCCCTGCATCGAACAAGCTCGTGCAACTTCTAAATAATCTGCATTAAAACACCTGGTAGGTCCTTAAAACGATTTCTCATCAGTGGGTTCTTATTAAAATGCACTTAGATGTGTGTGATTAAGGAGATGATGTGGAGAATTCGGGAGGAATCCATGAGGCTTTTCTTTAATTCATTTTTACACCATAATAAACCATTTAGGCTCCAACAACAGGCGCAATGAGCCATAGTTTATGTCATCATCATAATAACCTAATTGGGCAATATCTCTAATGTGAGACATTGTGTGTGCACTGTAAAAACATTTATACTCCCATAACAGTGCGTGCACCCTCCCTTCGCTCTGTCCCTCTTGACTTGGTGACAGACCTAAAAGCCTTTTGTTGCAATCTTAGCCAATGGAGACGGATTACGACACCGGGCAGCTGAGATATATAAAGAGCCCCTTTTTGACCGCACTTGCACATTTTTCAGTGACACTTCTGAACACTCACACACCTCCATGGACTAAATTGTACAGAAGAACCACAAAACAACCATTATAGTACACGTGAGCGGGCTATGCATTCATCAGACAGATAATTTGTTCACTTTCAATCAAAGCAGCCTGCACCGAGACACACTGGAACGTACTTTTTTTTTTATTTATTGCAAAATCTCCTGCAAAAAAAACAGCAACTTCGGAGTGATCGTATTGGATTAGATGCATGTCACTGATTCCCTGCCTTTTGTAGGATAAGGCAAGGAGCGACGCACACCCGGCAGAGGGGATATAACGGAATAAAGCGAGTGAAAAGACAAGCAAAAGAAAGAAAAAAGTTGCATTGCCTGGTGTCCACGCATCGTCATGCCGAGGTACAACTTCTTACTGTGCTTGATGGTGCTCATCTCCCTGGGACAGTCGGGGAGCGATGAACCCAATCTGCTGCTGCCTTCTGCCAGCGAGACGCCTACGGATGCCGGACTGTCCCTGCTGGACGAGGACGCCGGTTCTCACGAGTGCTCCGCCTGCGTTTGGAGGGAGCAGAGCAAAGTGCTGAGACTAGAGACCATCAAGTCCCAGATCCTGAGCAAGCTGCGCCTGAAGCAGGCGCCTAACATCAGCCGGGAGGTGGTCAATCAGCTGCTGCCCAAGGCGCCTCCGCTCCAGCAGCTCCTGGACCACCACGACTTCCAGGGAGACGCGTCGTCCCAGGATGAGTTTATGGAGGAGGATGAGTACCACGCCACCACGGAGTCCGTGATCACCATGGCCTCTGAGCGTGAGTAATAGTTTACAACCCAACAATATTGTCTCCAAATGCGTCATGCGCGTAATTGCGGAGCAGATAGGCTCAAGTGACTCAGGCCTGCTGCGTGGACAGTGGAGCCGCTGGGGCTCATTCAAGTGAGTGACCTAACCTACTTTTTTCAGATTGGGGTCCACTCTGTGTGTCTGAAGCGGAATGATAATATTAGACAAATGGTCTGCGGTCAGCTGCTGGCCACGGCTGTCAAAATAGGGATTACGCGTTAGGCTGATAAATCAATAATCAGCAGCATAAAGAGCGTCGTCACTCTGAAATAGACAGCTCCAATATGGCCTGATGGACTTTTGTTTTCATGGTGATGATGTTTATGATGATGATGATGGAGGGCTAAGTCCTATTGGAGCAGCAGTCTAATATTTAGCTGCCCAGTCCACCTGCTGTCATGTTCAAACTTTCCCTCTTATGCAGGATTTTTTTGTGTGTGTGTTTGACGGGGTGTAAACGCATGACAGAGCCGTGTGAATGTCAAGTGCATTATTAATGGTAATGCAGCATTTGGCTGGCAGTTGCATCAATTTATCCTTTATGCCTTCTTTTGCATAAAGGCCCTAAATTCTGGAGTTATGATCGCGCCGTGAGGCCCTCTGATTATTGCCCCTCTAACAATTTGCTCGCCCTCTTATAGTTTCCCATAAATCCACAGATAAACCGCAGGCAGGCCCCTTGGAGACATTTTATAAAATTACTGTTGAACCCTGGCAGCTGTGCTCTATCGGTCTTTTATAGGAGGCTCTACCGGTTTCCCTGCTGTTCATCGCAGTGAGAAAAAGTGTGTCCAAAAAGCTGCTATTGTTCCCCTCATGCAGCGGCCCCCCTCGGCCGCACTTGCCTTTTAAATGCGAAGTTTATGGGCGCAGCTCGTTTTTTTTTTCACCACGAGTACACAAAGAGAGAGAATCACTCGAGGTCGAGGGGAGTGTGTGACCTTTCCCTGGCGAATCGCGGGGTTCAACAACATTTACACACGTAATATATTCTGCACAAGGCGGATAAAACACACTCCAAATAATCAGTTTTTTCTTACTCCACCAATGAACAAAGATACGCCTGTGTGCAGGAGACTTTGGCCTCGTGTTGTCTGACATTATTAATTCCTCATTATAATATCTATCTATCTATCTATCTATCTATCTATCTATCTATCTATGCATAGGTGTAGGTTTCTGGGGGATGCAGGGGGCACATCCCCCTCAAAATTTAAAGCATGTGCATTTGTTCCCAGTGGAGAGGATTTTTATTTTAATTAAAGTAAAGCTAGTTGCACCATAAATTGATACAGAGAGGGCACAAACTGGTGCATAAAAATTCACCAAAATGCAGGAAATTAAATGTTTGATACCCCCAAATCCCCTGTTTCATATCCCCAATGTTCAAAAGAAACCTATGCCTATCTATCTATCTATCTATCTATCTATCTATCTATCTATCTAGTTGGGATTTGCATCTTCTAAGAGCCTCGGTTTCTTTACTTTCATCAGTTACTTTTTGTTGTTTGAGGTGTATTATAATATCTTAGAGTTTAATTATACTTTTCTGTCCTCACCTGACCAGACAGTCCCGCCTGTATCTGTAATTACAGCAAATCAACTTTCACTTGACATGTTGTAACATACAGTTCCAAATGTCATCTAAATTTTATCTCAACCTTTCCCGCAGAGTGCTGCAGGAATGAGTCCTAAAACTCAAAAGCTAAAGAAAACATGTAAGTTTCATAAACTTTTGATTGTATTCTGCAGTATTCCAAAATCCAATGGAAAAATTCCATAAGCTTTTAATGAGGGAACCAGGGTGACACTAACTTCTGCGTTGGCCTAAGAAGCACTCTATGGCTTTAGTCTTTATCAAAGCTTTTAACTATTTTGTACTTTTTTAACCACCATTTCTTTTGAGAGATGTTTTTGCTCTGATGCGAGTGATGCAGTTCAGTTCATCATAAAGGAGAACAGTGCACAGCTGATATCTTGCATCATACAGGTGAATAGAGGAGGCATTCAGTTTGACATTTGTCAGTCGTTTGCTTTATTTGGCAACTATTTTTAGGGCATCTCCACAGGATAATCAGTGTGTCAGTGCTTCTATCTATCTGTCTATTGATCGATCTATTTCGGATGCTGACAGTGAAGGTCTTCTATAATAACTGGCTGTCATCTCTCTCATGTACGGATCAATCCTACATTGGACTATCTCTGTCCACCTGTAAATACAGACACCTCTGTATGCCTAACACACTCATCTGTACATTACAAGTGAAATCAACAATATCCTCCATATCCTCAATATATAGTGTATTTTTGCTTCTCATCCTCTGCACGTCCACACTCACACACCATGCAAAGTGATTTGATACAAGCCAGAAAAAGGGGCATTATGCATGACACTGGCTAATTGCATATTTCTAATGGCCCTTATGCCAGCCCGAGGAGCTAATGACTGACATTACTTCTGTATCTGTTATGTTACAGCACTTCCTGTTCTGTTCTGTTCTCCTCATCTCTCTATGTCAGCTGCCGTTTTTATCATCTGCTCCTTCTCTCCATCTCTTTCTAACCCCCCCCCCCCCCCCCCCCCCCACCGCCCCCCCCCCCCCCCCCCCCCCCCCCCCCCCCCCCCCCCCCCCCCCCCCCCCCCCCAACCTTCCTCCCCGTTAGCCCCCTCTCTCCTTCCTCTTCTTTTTCTCCGGTACTCATGGAAGAGTTGAGAGAATGAGTGCATCTCTTTTTGCCTGTGGCGCCTTAGTGATCTCACAGGATTAAAAGTGCCTTTTCTGTCTCTCTGATAGAAGGAGGACTTCAAACACTATTCCCTGCGCACCTCGAACCCAATCACCCTTTCACGGTCGTGCACACTGCCTTTGATGGGCCATGTGGGTTCACACAGTACATACTGAACTGGACCTGTGCCAGAGTTGCTTCTTAGTATTCACTCAAGGTACGTGGGTGCCGCAGCGGGGGTTGAGAGGGTCCATGCTTCCTGGTCTCTAATTACTATGAAATTTCATGGAAAAGTACAGCTATTTATATCGTAGTGCGGCACTAAAACATCACTCTCCGTATAGTGTGTTGTGTAGGTAACCGCTGCGCTCACTGTTCATGCATGAAAAATGAGTCCGTTTGAAGCAGTTTATCAGGGTCATTTTCTTGCACAGCATCATGAACGAGCGTTGATTTTTATTATCAGATCTATTTACATTAACATATATGTTGATTTGTGTGTGTAGTAATTGTGTGCAAGTGTGCATGCAGTGTGTGAATTTGGGAGCTCGGTTTGTTTTGCCCGAGGTGGGGTGAGGATTTGACCCCACTAGTCTCCCATTTGTCACCTGTCCAAGGCATTTAGACCAGACCTTCCCCTTCCATCAGTGACCTCCTCCTCCTCCTGTCTTTCTCTCTGTCTCTGTATGTATGTTTTTATGCTCATTGACCACACACTATTCAACTGTTCCATTAAAAACTCCAGTAATAATAATACTGAAAAGAGCACACAAAAAAACAGCACAGAAAAAAGATTTAAAGGAATACTTCACCCCCAAATGACCACTTGTTTATCAGTTGCTCGCCCCGTGTTACATTGAATTTGTACAGAGAACTTAGTTTTTGTTGCATGCCTTCATGGTGAACAAAGAATCCAAAAATGGAGAAAATTCCCAATGAATTGAAGTCATAAGGGTCCAAGTTTAATGACAACAGAACTATATAAGAAAAACTCCCCCCACCCCAATGACAATTCTGCTGTCAATTACCCACCCTGTGTTATGTTGAATTTGTAAAGAAAACTTTGTTTTTCTCGCATACCTCAATGGTGCATGAAGAATCCAAAAGCAAAACTACATCAAAACATCTGTTTACAGACTCTCACACAACTCATGCAGTATAATCCAAGTCTCATTTATCCAGTCGTATGTTCAGTACTACCCAAACAGACAGACCTTTCTGATGGAGAACTGAACTGTAAGTGAAACTTATCTATCTTCTCTACAGACTCCATTGACAAAAAGAGTAGTTTTACCATGCTGACCACAGGAGCAGCTGTTCTACGGCTGCCTTGATCAGTTAGTTTGTTTGTGTTATTGTGTGACATTGGTGTTTTAAAGGGTTGGTTCGCATTCAACAAAGTCACACATTAACACAAACTAACTGATCAAGGCAGCCGTAGATCAGCAGCAGGTGAAATGACTGTTTTGTCAATAGATTCTAGCTTTGAAGAAAGATTAGATAAGTTTCACTTTCAGTGTAGTTCCCTGCCAGAAAGAGCTGTCTGTTTGGGAAGTACAGCGCATACAGCTGGATAAATTAGACCTGGATTATACTGCACGAGTTGTGTGAGAGTTTGTTAACAGATGTTTTGATGTAGTTTTGCTTTTGGATTCTTCATGCACCATTGAGGTATGTGAGAAAAACAAAGTTTTCTTTACAAATTCAACATAACACAGGGTGGGTAATTGACAGAGGAATTGTCATTGGGGTGGGGGGAGTTTTTCTTCAAAGAGAAATGCCACATCTGTGGACTAAGAATACAACGGATATGACTTAGTTTAGGTAGTCTGTGTGTGAAGCTTAATGTGTTCTTTATCAGCTTCTTTGCTGTGACATTTTGAAAGGTTTTGAGTAATGTTGACATTGTCCAGTAAAAGAGATTCCTCACTCACTTACCCTCCCTCTGAGCATTTATTCCATGTTTACATTTTTTCATTGTAGTGCGTCCAAAACATAGGAAATCACTGACTAACCCTAGCCCCTAACCCTATCAGCAAGGAAAGCTTGACCATTTAAAGGAGTACAAACTTAAGTTTAGGCATAAAGAATGCCACATTTAAAACATTACTAATGACCACTCAGCTATTCTTGAAAGTTCTCATTTTGTTAAACTATTTTATACCCACATTTCATCTTGTCCATCATGATTGTATGTAGGCTAACATTAGGAAGTGCTATACTGGTATTATTATGTAATCC